CAATAACACAGCAACACACACACACACACACACACACACACACACACACACACACACACACACACACACACACACACACACACACACACACACACACACACACACACACACACACACACACACACCCCCTCTTCCCCAAGCATCTCTCACACGCCCTTAGCACAGGTGGTCCTTTGTAAAGAAACAGTTCCCTCTAGTGGAGATCACCTGGACATGTTTCAGCTCTCTACAGCAGACAAGGACAAAACCACACTAAACCCCTCTCCCTGGGAGTCTGAATGTGCCTTTGGGTCTGGTTTGTTTTTCTCCTTCTGTGAAAAAGCAGCAACTCCTCAGTCGCAAGACCTGGCTGTCATTGCCATGACATTCCCTTTCTCTTACAAATCCTACAGAAGAATCCAGTCCAGGGCTGGCATTGGGATTCAGGCTGTTGTAACGAACAGCTGCTTTCCAAAGGGCCAGCAACAATTTTGGTTTAAATTGAGCCCTTGTCTTGACAAAGGCTCTCCTGTGAGGGGGATGCTGTAGTACCCCAGGACGGTGTCTTAAGGACCATGGGCTTCTCCTCCAGGACCATTGCTCGGCTGAGTAAATGCTTTCATGGATTGTTCCATGCCAATGCTGAATTTAGTGGAGTTGACGAATAAAAGAAAAATGGAAATGTAGGTGACTGTACATCAGAAAGCCCATAGGTGCTGCACAAACAGAAGACTTTTTCATTTAACAACCTTGTTTCAGGCTAAGCTGTTGCACCAGGGGATGCAGTCGGGGGGAGACTATCGGGGGAGGTGCCTGCGGGGCTCATCAGGGGTGCGGGGTCCTGATCATATGTGATGGTTTCTGGATTAGGTAACTGCTCCACTGGTTGAAATTGGATCTTGGAGGATGAATGTTAACATCTCTGGTGTCCTGGCGAAAGGTTCATTTGAGTCTTGCACGGTGCCGTGGAGATAAAAAGGAGCTTTTAAATAATCATTTTGTCTCCTCCTCGCCAGAGTGCAAGCTTCCGGCAATAAATAGGTGATATCAGATCTGCTTAGACATATCACCCTTTACATTTATTTATTTAATGTGGAGAGGATTTTTTTAACTGATTAGCTGAACTGATTCAGTGTCAAGGAAGCCCAGTACCCACTTTTCTCTTGGTATATTTCAGTTCATTCTCTAGGTACTTGCGTGCATGTAATACTTTTTATGCAGCCATTACAGACACCAGCACCTGCTCCAGGCCCATCAGAGCCAAGTGATTCTTTCTAAAATAAAACAAAGCAATCTCCTCTTGGTTAGATTGTCCTTAACCTTTAAAAAATCTGATATTTCTGTATTCATTCCTTGTTTTTCTTTTTGTTAGGATCTGTTTTATTTGGTAAATACATAGGCTGTTTGGGTTCGCTTGTTTCGCTTTTCTCCCTCTTTCTGTTCTTTTTCTTTTTTTGTGTCCCATTTCAGTCTCTATTTTTTAATTTTTTCATTTTGGATTTTGACTTTAAATGCAGACAAGTCATGTTACAAGACATTAAGATTCTAGCATGCCAGCTTCTTATTGGTCAAATTACAAAAGAAACATAACCCAGCGAGCCTGAGTTTCTTCTTTATAGTGTTCAATCGTATGTTCCCTAAAATGATGATTTCAAAGCTATTTAATATTTTGTCCAGCTTACACAGGTTTACTTTTCCCAACCAAATCTATATAGTTTCAGTCATGAACAATGAAATTGACTCAGTACAGAATAGACCTTTAAAAGCTATGGCAGCCCTGAGAATTTTTGGAAATACAGCATGTTTCTGTGTCAGGCTAACCCTGGGCATCATTACATCCTTATTTCTGTGTTTATTTTGTACCACTCACACCTGAATTTAAGGGAGTATTTGGTATGATCTTGAAAACCTTCTTATTAATACTATTTTCTGTACAGCAGAGATTTTTTATTAGAGCAATTAACATTTACTAAGTAAAAAGAAATACCCATAAGCCACGTAAACAAAGTCCCCCTCTTTGAACAAATCATTAGCATAGATATGGGACAAGAGATTGCTGGGTTCTGATTCCAAGTGTTTGGGCTAGATTCAGTTTTTTTTTTCCTCCTTAGTTCTAAAGCAAATGGTGAATGATATTCAGTTGTTGTTTTTTAAAGTAAAGTATTTGTTAACTATTAATTCTCTGTAGGACTTTAGAAATTCCAATGAATAAATATAGTGAAATAGAATATAAATGCCAAATACAATTGAAAGGTACCATTTTCAGTCCTAGACCAATGGATACATGGTTTAATCTGTTTTCTTAGTCCCTGAAACAATGCAGACTATAAACCATTCACGGCAGCCTATCCTTTGTGACCATTAATGTAGTCTTTCCATAAAATTCTCCATAAGAGGTCCACCTAACAGGAAAGACAAGCCCTTTCTTGTGTTTTTTGGACATTGTGACCTCAAAGACCCTTTCCAGTGGTAGATTAATAATCCTATGACCCTCTGTTCAGGCCATATATTTTCTGCTGTCCTTTACTTCTCTTCTTCCTTAACTCATATGCAGAAAAAGTTATCTAGATTTTTTGTGGGTTTCTTTCTTTTTTTATTTTTTAAACAAACAAACAGAAAACAAACCCTAAGGACTCTGTGTCAGAAAAATAGTCATTCCTTCTATTGCTGCTGATTACAGATGAAAAAGGAGGGAATTAGTATTGAAGTGTCTGTGAGTGAGTGAGGGAGTGTGTGTGTGTGTGTGTGTGTGTGTGTGTGTGTGTGTGTGTGTGTGTGTAGGGGAAAGGCCTCTTATGCCCCCTTGAGTCCCATGTATATAGGTGGAATTGTGTATTTCTCTTTTCCATGGTTCTTTGTCAGTCAAGGGTTATTGTTTGTGTCTTGCTTCCTTCCCTTCTCTTCCCTTCCAGATGGACAAGGTCACTGCTCTCTCTTCCTTTAAAATAAGAGAAAGAGAAAAATTTCCCATAGTCTTTCCCAAGAAGACCTTTCCATTATAAGTGGGGAGTTGTAGTCAGGTCCTATAAATGATATAATGCCCTGGAAAGCTCAGTTTCTCTCCCCATTGGTTTCACATCTACTTTTCCTGAGACAACCTTGTGGAGATGACCTTTTTAAGCTTCAGAGACATGTAGAATTAGGAAGAAACTCTCTGGGCTCAACAGATATATTCTACCTTCAACTATTTTTGTGGTTTTTGCAACATGACCTGGAAATAACAGCCACCCCATCCTCTGATCCTCAGCTCATTACCCCAGAATACACTGGCTAATTGGATTCTAGCCACCACCTCCTAGAAACTTAAAAGCTGGCCTATTTCTCTCTCTCTCTCTCTCTCTCTCTCTCTCTCTCTCTCTCTCTCTGTGTCTCTCTCTCCCCTTCTCTCTCTTTCCCTCTCTCTCCCCCCCTTCTCCTTCTCCCTCTCCCTCTCCCTTTCCCTCTCCTTTCTCTCTCTCTTTCTTTTTCTCTCTCATTCAAACAAATAAATGAATAACCTTCATTTTTTGTAGTACAATTTACTCCTATGCACCCCCTCAGTAAGGTCTTGGTTATTACACGAAAGTTATGATTTAAGGCATGTTGTATGCAAGTTGCATATAAAATAAAGGGGAAGATGTAGATACTGCTGTATTCATGGAAGCACTTTTATAGAAGTAAAAAAAAACTATAAAAAAATTTTAAACTTAGAGAATGTCTAAACAAATTATGATATATGAATATAATGGAATTTTGTTGTACCACAAGAAGCCATAAATATGAAGAATTTGTAGAAACATGGGAAGACTTATTAGGACCATAGAGCATAAGATCATGGATCTTCCCCCACTTCCAAGTTCTCCTTTTACGCTAGAGCTCTGGTTTTTATCTGAACTGTTGTATTGTGAAAAGTGGCTGGCACAAGGAGATTGTGCCTCCACCATCAGGATGTAGGGCAGACTACTTACTGTGCTGGGATTTCTCCATGCTGGTTAGGTCCTTGTGCATTATCAACGTGATGTCACCTTAGTCATTCTAGAGTTGTCGATATGTATTTTAAATATTACAGAGAAGCTTAGCAGAGGTGAAATAAGTGATCTCTTTGAAATGGATGTGCTCTCCATCAGTGATAATTGCAACCCATGGCACCTTCCCATGCTTTGCAGTTCGTAATCTGGTCATAGCATAGGTTTTCTCTAGGGAAGATTCTCACGGTAGGTTGAAGGCTTTCTGTGCTCTTTCACATTTCAGGGTAAGAAGGGACACCCTTAGGCTGTCTTTTGTTATTTCTTGCTCTCACTCCCTGATAGATCCCCCTCATTTTTCGATCCCTTTTGGCTAGGCGACAAGGCAAGGCAGCAAAGCATTTATTAGGGGTTTGCTATGCGCCAGGCACCTTGCTTCTTGTTCATAGATGAAATTAAAATTTAGCAGAAAATTTGAATAAATCATAATCATAATGAAACTAACATTTATGTACTGCTTACCATGTTCCAAGCACTGTGCTAAGAACTTTACAGTAATTATCTCATTTGATAGTATTATCCCCATTTTGCAGATGAGGAAACTGAGGCAACAGACTTATTTGAATGTAAGTACTACTTCTTGAAGTGAACATTGGATGACATTCAGATATTAGTGGAATTGATGTGGAGGGAAATTCACACGTGGACTTTCTTTGCTCTTTGGCCATTTCTAAAATGCTATACTGCAGCTGGTCTAGGAATTTATTTAGTTATATAATGACACTGACCTTTTCCTTGAATTACCATTAATAAGAGCTAACTATTATTAGTAGCCATCATTTACATAAAGCCCTTTATGGTTTGAAAAGTGTTTCACACATATTGCTTCATTTCTCACAATATCCCTGTGAGGTATGTGCTAAGGTGCTACAGATCAGGAAACTGAGGTTGCTGGAGATTGATGACTTGCTTAGCCTCCAGCTTCCTGACTCAGAGTCGGACAGGCTTTCACCACTGCCACACCTCACCACCATCAACCTGTACATCTTTTCCCTTTTTATTTGTCTCTCCTTATAGTGCTGAGTATCCGAGGAGCCCAGGAGGAGGAGCCGACAGACCCCCAGCTGATGCGATTGGACAACATGCTGTTGGCGGAGGGAGTAGCAGGGCCGGAGAAAGGTGGGGGATCTGCAGCAGCGGCGGCAGCAGCAGCAGCATCTGGGGGAGCTGGCTCAGACAACTCAGTCGAGCATTCTGACTACAGAGCCAAACTCTCACAAATCCGACAGATCTACCACACAGAACTGGAGAAATATGAACAGGTAACCACAGGCGCTTGCATCTCTCCCTGGTATCTTTAGAGAAGGCTAAGAGGCAAAGGGCAAAAACTGGGGCCAGTTCACAGACGATGCAGGGAACAGGAACTCTCGTTACGGGGAGTTAGGAGCAATGGGGAGGAGTGGCTGAGGGCAGGTCTTAACTCCATATCAAGAAAAATGGCCTAACAATAAAAATGACCCCTTTGGTACAGGGCACATCCTTTAGAGAACAGAAAGTCCTGGGTTACTGGGGGCCTTCACGCTGAGGCTGAAGACCAAGGTGGAGAGCATTTATTAAGTTCTCTCCATGTGTCAGACACTGTGCTAGTCTGTGTCAGAAACCAACTCTAGCTCCTATGAGTCTCTGTCCAGGGCCTTTTCCGTAACACCACACTTCTTCCCCCATATTGTAGAGTTTCTGTTCAGGTACCAATCAGACCAGATGACTTGAGGTCCTTTCTGACTCTGAGACTCTATGATACCAGACTTAGGGATGGAGGTCCAGTGTCCCACTCCTCAAGCTAGCAGACAATGCTTAGAACACCTGTTCTGCTCACTTCCCTCCCTATGCTATAGTTCACAACTCTGAGAAAGGAGCATCACAGTACCAACCTGTCTTTTGCAGATGATAGGATGAATACCAGGTTAGGCTAGTGAGTGTTCAAAATGTGTTCATTGTGATTGATTCAAGACATAGTTAATGATTGACTCTCCCAACCCTCCATCCAACTACAGGCATTTGTTTTTACATAGAATACACTTATATTTGTGAATGCAGGTCCCGTAGTATAGTGAAAATTATACCAGTAGTAGAACCAGAGGATTTTGGTTCAAAGTTCACCACCAGCACCTCGATGGCACCTGGGTGACATTAAACAGGTTATTTGACCTCCATGATCCCCAGTTTCCTCATCTGTAAAGTAAGGCAATAGGACTCGATGACCTTTCAGGTCTCTTCCAGGTTTAAGCCTATGATCCACGATCCTCTATTTCATAAATTTGGAAGAATATATTTGTTAATTTAATTGAATAAATTTGTTTTAATTCAAGACAATTCATAATTCCTCCTGAGCCCATCCCTCCCAGTATTTCAGGATTATGTATGTGGTGAAGAATGAAAGACTTAATCTAAAATACTCTTCCAAATTGCAAATGTATTTATGTGTATGTGTGATGGTAATGTGTTATGGAAAGTACATTGGACCTGGAGTTAGAGCTAGGACTGTGTGACTATGGGGAAGTCACTTAACTTTCCCTCATCTTTAAAATGGCGGTAATCATTGAATCTCATACCCCTCTGGATTGCTGTGAGGAAATCACATCTTAAGCTATAAAAAAATGAACAGTTTTTGTTCCTTGTGGTATCTTGCCCAGGCTAGACATATATCAGCTGTTCACTGGCCTCATCCCATTACTGAGTGATTGGCATGGGAGATTTAACCCAAATTATTTGCGACATGGGCCAGTTCATCCCTCCTTAGGTAGCCTGGTTCCATTCTTCCACCTATCTCCTGTACCTAGAGGCTTACCATATTGGTGCCAGTTTTAGTACAGATATTTGATTGGCTTTCCCCCTCATCACGGCTTATAACTCCTAAACTCAAGTGATTCACCAGCTTCAGCCTTCCCAGGAGTACCAAGTACAGACCTGTAACATCATCACACCTGGCTACTGTGGCTATTACTACTGAGGGCTAACTCATGAAAAGTCAGCTTGGTGTGGTATAGTATTTAGAGTCAAAGGGTCTGGGAACAAATCCTTTCTGATCCTAGACAAGCCATTTACCATATATAAGCCTTAGTTTTCTCTTCTGTAAAATGGAGTTGGATTAGATGGTCTTTAAGGCCCTTTCCAACTGTGTTTATATGTAACTTTGTCCTATATGTAAAGCTGTGTTATGAATCTCATGATTACTAGCAAGGCCTAAACTCTGGGTATTGTCTTTATCTACTGACTTCAGAATTTTATCAAGAGTCTACTGGCCTAATGAATGTATTTATTGAATACAGAATACTCTTAGGAATATGAGCAGACCTGATGTCCTGGGGGAGCATTAATTATAAAAAGCCTTTCAGATGCCTGTGTTGTGACACATACAAACTCATCAGTGGTATGGTGTAAATGTCTTGGAATTGGGATTCAAATCCTGGCTCTGATACTCACACCTTTTGACCGGTGACAAGTTGTGACCACTTGAGCCTTAGTTTCGATGTCTGTAAAATGAAGGGTTTGAACTAAATGGTCTCTTAGGCGCTTAAGCTATAAATCTATGATCCCATAAAATATAACATTGTCTTAAGTTCTCATATTATTTTTCTTCATTACTTTTAATTGTCATGTTTGCCTTTAATACAAAAGATGGTAAGAAAATGAGATGAGTAAAAGGCCTTCTGCCATCCAGAATGTGCCAGTCTCTTTTTAGGATGAAAGACAGCTTAATAGGAATTTTAAAATTTAAAATAGAAATAGACATTTTAAAATTTAAAATGGATAAAGTACCTTTATTTCTCTCTCTCACCTAAACCTAAAATGGATTTCCTGAAAGTATCCTTCTTACATATGTACAAAAAAAAAAATCAGTTGAATTTGAAGAAAGTCCTTGTAATTTTCCATTGCAAAGAGAAGAATTTTTCCCCAGTATATGAAAAGAGAAAAAATAAGTACAAAGATTTTTCACTTCTTTTTAGTAGAGCAGTTTTTTTTTATATTTGCCATATAATACAGAATGTTAATTTAAAAACATTTCTCCAGAGCCCCAAGAAATGTTTAGGGATAAAATAAGCTAAGAATTTTTTACATCAGTGGCAATAGTACTCCTCAGCTGACTGAGTGATTTTGAATGGAAGGTAGAGACAGTCCTATAGTACTCCGACTGCCTGGGAGACATTCTTTTTCCCATCATGAATCAAAAATGGGAAGATTATTTCTTTGGGAGTATACTACAGACTGGCTAGCCAGAAGGAAGAAATAGGTGAATTCTGGAAGCAGTTCATAAAGTTAGCGTTGAGGTACAATGTAGTAGCAGTGGGAGGCTATAGCCATTTGAACTTCTGCTAGGGTGTTGCAAAAACCAGAGCAATATATCAAATCTTAACCTGCCTTGATGATGATTTAATTCTTCAAAGGGTGGAAGAAGACACAAATGAGATTACTATTTTCTTCTTGATTTTGATCATAAAAAGGAATTGTTTACCAAGGTTGAAGTAATGGGAACCTTGAGGAAGAAGTAACTGTCTCATCTTGAAATTCATGATAAATAAGAAGGGGAAATTTGGATGTCTTCTGATATGTGCTCTGGCTCTTGGGGGAGTAGATTTCCAAGAATTAAAGGATTTGCGGGCTTCTTTGCCCTAAACTTTGACAGAGGAAATCAGCCCAAGGGGGTAGGGATGCTTTATGTAAAAGCATTCGGGGGGCATGGAGGAAAAGGAGATAAGTGAGAAACAATTTGGGAAAGGGTTGGGGTGGAGTGGGGTCGGGGAGCCTGGACCTAGAAATTAACCTGTGGTGTCCCGGAGCTCACACTCTCCAGCCCCTGAAGAACCACCCCCAAGATTCTAATGCCTTTGATTTCTCAAGGGTTTCAGTCTGCTTCCTTTTGAACAATATGTGATGATCAGGGAATAGGACCATGCCCAAAACACTGGCTCCCAAGGTAACTCATTTCTTATCACCCTTTCCCTTTAGAAAAAATTCCTGTCCACAGTCTCTGTTAGCTTACTACAGGAGTGAAAAACCCCTCTTGTGCAATAACTTAAACATGATAGTGGAGAGGAGTCTAAAGAGATTAATGTGATTGTATGAGGTGTTTGCTGACTAATTTGTAAGAGACACATCCTCAAGATCAGAGAAAAGACATCTGAAAAAGGATAAGGGAGAGAGACACGGTCCTCCTAAAAGAGCAGCATAAACAATAAAACACAGAATGAGCTGGGCTTGTAATGAATGCTAAGGATTCATTGCAAAAAATAAAAAATTAAAAAAAGACATTTTTTAGCTATGGTGGGAGCAAGAACAAGGAAGTGCGGGGGCTGCTGCTTGCCAAGAGTGGGAAGAGTCTAATAGATGAAAGAGAAATAACAGTTCAGAAAATCCTTCATTTCTTCGTTTGCTTCCTTGTTACCTACCAGGTAGAATGCTCTTCAGACTGTGCGATATAGAATCTAACTGGAATAGGGAATCCAAATCTAAGATTAATGAGGCAATCATTATATCACAAATTTTAAGCTGTAAAGCAACTTATTATTTCTGCCCCAGTTTACAGATAATAATAAGTGCTAACATTCACTATATAGTACTTACTATGTACCAGGCACTGTGCTAAGCACTTTACAATAATTATTTCATTCTTACTACAACCCTAGGAGATAGGTGCTAATATCATCCCTATTTTGCAGAACAGGAAACTGAGGCAAACAGAGGTTAAGTGACTTGTCCAGGGTCTCACAGCTAGTAACCATCTGACGCCACATATGAACTCGGGTCTTTCTGACTCCGGGCCCAATACTCCGTTCACTTCTGCCCCAGAAACCCGGAGAACTAAAATGACTAGGCTATGGTCACACAGATGTTGAGGTGCAGAGATGGAATTTGAACCAACCTTTGACTACCAAGTTAGTGCTGTGTACATTATAAAGTCACATTATGCAATCCAACAAGTATTTATTAAATGCATACCGTTTGTAAGCAAATACTGCAAATGGTTCTTTCTATTTACAAGCTCTTAATATTCATCCTATTTGTATTTGTTAGACGCAGGGAATAGAGAGATGAGAAATGTTATGGTTTCTTCCTTCAGGGAACTTAACAGTGAGTATAGCAATGGGGAACAGTGTAGGATATGCACACAAATCATTTAATACAAGGTAGAATATAATGGTTGTAAGACGCAGCTCAAGACCAGGCATGGTAAGAAAATTTGAAAATGGAAAGAAGACTTTCATCTGGGGGAATCAGAAGAAAACTTGAGCTGAGCCCCAAAGGAAGAGAAGGATTTCAATGG